TGACAACATGGGTTAACTTTTTTTTTTTTTTAATGGAGATGGGGTCTCACTTTGTTGTCCAGGCTGGTCTAGAACTCCTGGGATCAAGTGATCTGTAAACCTCAGCCTCCCAAAGTGCAGGAATTACAGGCATGAGCCACTGCTCAGCCAGGATTTACATTTTCTAAAAACTCACGGTAAAATGGGGAGAACAGATTTGGAAGAGGAAAGAGTGGATATATGAAGATCAGCTAGAAGGCTACTAAAGTAGTCTAGGCAATATCTTAATCTGAAAAGATAAAAGAGAAAATGAAGAAAAATGAATGGATGTGAAAGGTATTTAGGAGTGCAAAACTGACAGAACTAAAGTCAATGGAGGAAATGAGAAAGGAAGACTCCTGAGATGACCCAGGTATATGACATGTACAATTAGATGGATACAGAATATTGAAAGAAGATCAAATTTGCCGGGAGGAAAGGAAAATCACAGGTTCAATTCTGGACATGTTGTGTCTGAGATGCCTTCGAGATATGTAAATGGCAATCAATGAGGCAGTAGGATATAGTCAGCCCTCTGTATTCAGAGGTTCTGCATTTGTGGATTCAACCAACAGCATACATAAAATATTCAGGCAAAACAAATGGATGGTTGTATCTGTACTAAACATGGACAGATTCTTTTTCTTGCCATTATTTCCCTAAACGATACAGTATAACAACTATTTACATAGCATTTACATTGTATTAGGTATTGTAAGTGACCCAGAAATTATTTAAAGTATACAGGGGGATGTGCATAGGTTATATGCAAATGATACATCATTTTATATAAGGGACTTGAATATTCTTGAATTTTGGTATCTGAGAGGGGCTAGTGTGTAGGGTGTCCTGGAACCAATACCTGAGGATACTGAAGAACAACTGTATATGAATTTAGAGCTCAGAGAAGAAGTCTGGATTAGAGATAAAAACTTCTGAATTGTTTGAGAATAAACAGTAAGCAATACATACCCAGAGGAAATAACGTGAGGAGAAAAAAAGACCACCAAGGACTGAGCCTGAGGAATTCCAACATCTAATTAACTGATAGAAGTGGATGAATCTGTACAGGAGACTAAGAAAGAATAAATGCTGAGAAAGGAGAAAAACAGGGATAACGTGATGTCACGGAAGTCAAGGGAGGAGAGGGTTGTAAGAAGTTCATTAATTGTGCTGCACAGCACTAACAGGTCAAGTAAAATAAAGACCTATTACTAACCCTGACAAGACCCACTTCAGTTGTATGACAGGGGTGGAAACTACAACGAAGGAGGAGTATAGAATAAATGGGAGATGCTGTGGTGGTTAGAAAAATTCTGGCCGGGCACGGTGGTTCACACCTGTAATACCAACACTTTGGGAGGCTGAGGCGGGTAAATAACAAGGTCAGGAGTTCGAGACCAGCCTGGCCAACATAGTGAAACCCCACCTCTACTAAAAATACAAAAATTAGCAGGGCATTGTGGCGTGCCTGTAGTCCCAGCTGCTCAGGAGGCTGAGACAGGAGAATGGCTTGATCCCAGGAGGTGGAGGTTGTGATCTCCACCTCCTGGGATCAAGATCGCACCACTGCACTCCAGCATGGGCAACAGAGCAACTAAAAAAAAAAAAAACAAAAAAAATTCAGTACCCACCCTGAAGATGTTTAGTTTAAGAAAGCGAAAACTTTCATGCCTGTAATCCTAGCACTTTGGGAGGCCGACGCAGGCAGACTGCCTGAGCTCAGGAGTTCAAGACCAGCTTGGGCAACATGGTGAAACCCCGTCTCTAATAAAATACAAAAAAAATTAGTTGGGTGTAGCGGTGTGCGCCTGTAGTCCCAGCTACTCAGGAGGCTGAGTCAGAAGAATTGTTTGAACTTGGGAGGCAGAGGTTGTAATGAGCCGAGATTGTGCCACTGTACTCCAGCCTGGGCAAGAGAGTGAGACTGTCTCTCTCTCTTTTTTTTTTTTTTTTTTTTTTGAGAAGGAGTTTCGCTCTTGTTACCCAGGCTGGAGTGCAATGGCGCGATCTTGGCTCACCGCAACCTCCACCTCCTGGGTTCAGGCAATTCTCCTGCCTCAGCCTCCTGAGTAGCTGGGATTACAGGCACACATAACCATGCCCAACTAATTTTTTTGTATTTTTAGTAGAGACGGGGCTTCACCATGTTGACCAGGATGGTCTCGATCTCTTGACCTCATGATCTACCCGCCTCGGCCTCCCAAAGTGCTGGGATTACAGGCTTGAGCCACCGCGCCCAGCTCGAGACTGTCTCTTTAAAAAAAAAAAAAAAGTAAAACTTATTAAGAGATTGTAAAACACAGACACAATGCTACAGTTTTGCTTATTCTTTAAATGCAATAAAAATCCAAAAAAGGAGCCGGCCGCGGTGGCTCAAGCCTGTAATCCCAGCACTTTGGGAGGCCGAGGCAGGTGGATCACGAGGTCAAGAGATCGAGACCATCCTGGTCAACATAGTGAAACCCCGTCTCTACTAAAAATACAAAAAATTAGCTGGGCATGGTGGCGCGTGCCTGTAATCCCAGCTACTCAGGAGGCTGAGGCAGGAGAATTGCCTGAACCCAGGAGGCGGAGGTTGGGGTGAGCCGAGATCGCGCCATTGCACTCCAGCCTGGGTAACAAGAGCGAAACTCCGTCTCAAAAAAAAAAAAATCCAAAAAAGGAGGGCTCAAAGTAGCTGAGTAACCCAGGAAAGCCTTTATAGAGAAGAACAGTCTTAAGCAGAGTACTTAAGACTCTAAGTGATTGAAAAATGTTCAATCTAGAAAAATTAAATGAGAAAAATACATGGTGTGTATGTTGGAGGGAGAGCTGGAATTGGGATGGGCTGGAGTGATTAAAAAAAGCCAAGAGATGTAGTCTTCTGTTTTGTAATATAGGCTCAATACTGAATTATTTAGGACTAGATAATCTGGGCCCTAATGTCTCCTTTTTGCTGCCAACTTGGAGGCCAATCGATTAGACTAGAAGGTTCAAAGAGAAAAGGGAATGTAAGAATCATAAATCAATTGTGTTGCTCACTAGTTTTGGATGATGCTATATAAAAGGTGGGGATGAGTAAATTGGCTAAAATGTAATTTTATATCATTTGTAATTTTTAGGCAGTTAAGTGGAGTAGAAAAGAACACAGACTTTATAAAACAAAATCTGCAGTCTGGAAAAAAATAGATATATATTTCAAAAAATACAGACTTCAGAGCCAGAGGGAATCAAGTGTGAATACTAACTCTGTCACTTACTATGTATGTTGCTTTAGAAATGCAATCAATCTCTGCAACTCCAGTTTTTCATTTATAAAATAGGGAATCAAGTTTCTTAGCAAAGTTGTTTCTGGATTTAGAGATGAGATGGTAGTGCTTGATTCCTAAGCATCTAGTAAATGGTGGCTAATACAGCTGTATTAATACTATATGAGAAAAGAGGAAATACAGTCAAACAGATAAACTTGTATACATAACATGGGGACATTTTGTTTACTGGTGGGCCTTAATCTCTGTTTTCTGTAAGTATTTATCCACAAGTAAGTAAAAAGCATCAGACAGTAAGGTACAGTTTTGGGACCTACCGTGAAATCAATATAATCTGTCTCACAGACTTTTACAACTAATAATATTACATATGTAACTATTCAATAAGTATTTAGCAAGTTAAAATATATTCTTTATATTTTGCCAACTTCAAAATTTAATTATTAGTTTTGCAGATATGGGGGCTCCCTCTGTTGCCCAGACTGGAGCACAGTGGCACAACTATGGCTTACTATAAGAATTCGAATTCCTGGGATGGAGCAATTCTCTCAACCTAGCCTCTTGAGTAGATAGGACTACAGGTGCACACCACCATGCCTGGCTAATTTATTTATTTTTTGTTGAGATGGGGTCTTGTTATGTTTACCAGGCTGGTCTTGAATCCCTAGTCTCAAGCAATTTTCCCATCCTGAACTACAAAAGTGCTGGGATTACAAGTGTGAGCCATGTTATGGCTAATTTCGTAAACAAGAGAGACAAAAGAAGAGAAAAAAGGGAAAAAGTAAACCAAAAGAATAAAAAAGGCAAGCTGGGCGCAGTGGCTCATGGCTGTAATCCAAGCACTTTGGGAGGCCAAGCCAGGCAGATCACCTGAGGTCAGGAGTTCAAGACCAGCCTGGCCAACATGGTGAAACCCCATCTCTAGTAAAAATACAAAAATCTGCTGGGTATGGTGGTGCGTGCTGGTAATCCCAGCTACCTGGAGGCTGAGGCAGAACAATCACTTGATACCAAGAGGTGAAGCTTGCAGTGAGCCAAGATCACGCCATTACACTCCAGCCTGAGTGACAAGAGCGACACACACACACACACACACACACACACACACACACACACACAGAATAAAAAAGGCAACTGTAGTTAGTTAAGGGCAAAAAAAAGAACACAGGAGAAGAAAGGTTAAAGGGATCAGAGAGTCAAGACAGGCAGACAGAGAAGAGACAAGAGGCGAGACAGGGAGAATCTGCCTAGATTGCCTGGATCCTTTCATAGCCCTCCCATCACTATTTCTATTTGATAGTCCAAGCCAAAGCAGTCTAGGCTCCTGCTCTGCCAAGCCAGCTTTTCCTTTACCTGATTGTGCCACTGCTGTCATCTCTTGCCCAGCATGCCTTCCCTCACAGGAGTCTCCTAACCAGTACTTAACTACAGACTGGGTATAACCATACAGTGTCCTATGCCACTCCCTCTCAGTCTTAAAAAACAAAACAAAACAAACAACACCTATACTTGCACTTGCTAAACTAAGAAGAAGACCTTGTGACAGAAATGAGGACGTATGTTTATAGAACACTGGGATCTTCTTTGGGAATAACTTTTAAGAAATGCTTTTGAAAAACTATCATTGTAAGAGATAAAAAGATAGATGAAATTTAAGAAAATATGCCAAAAGCTAAATGAAAAACCCACCCCAAGAGGACTAACCCCAATTTATTTAGTATCTCTTCTTACTGTGTGCTGAGGGCCATCTTCATTATCCCTCATGTAGAAAGGCTTGAGTGCTAATGGATAATTAATGACGAAGACGGGTATGTTGCCACAGTGCTTCACCAGGTACTTTTCATGTTCAGTTTGTAGATCAATACCCCACTGTAATGAGAAGAAAAAAATGACTAAAGAAGACAGAGGTTAAATATACAATTAAGCACCTGAAAATAACCTGCATCAGTTCCAAGGGCTTCATCTTCCTGAGGCTCCACGTATGGAGCTGGCTAAGGTCACACAGCTGACTAAATCAGAGAGAGAGATTTGTTAACAAGAACAACTGCAGGCCTAGAAAGATGAAAGCTGAAGCCAGTAGACAAACACTATCCTTTCTGTGTCCCCATCGTCCCCATCACTCTCCTACCCCTACCCGCCAGGAGCAGATAAATAGCTCCTGCAGGAAAACAAAGTCTACTTTACAAGGGGATTAAAAAACAAATACACACCTAACTTCAGAATCACAGTTTTTATTAACAGTGCCTAGAGCTTCTTCCACAGTTACTCTTCCTATGTCTCAGGAAATTAAATGATAGAAGATAATATTCCTAACATTGAGCCTATCTTTGGCTAAATGACTTCTCCTGGTGACTTTATTTATTTTTTTTTTTGAGACAGAGCCTTGCTGTGTCACCCAGGCTGGAGTGCAGTGGTGTGATCTTGGCTTACTACAACCTCTGCCTTCTGGGTTCAAGTGATTCTCCTGCCTCAGCCTCCCAAGTAGCTGGGACTATAGGTGCCCACAACCAGGTCTGAGTAGTTTTGTCCTATTAGTAGAGACAGGGTTTCACTATGTTGCCCAGGCTGGTCTTGAACTCCTGAGGTCATGATCTGCCCGCCTTGGCCTCCCAAAGTGCTGGGATTATGAGTATGAGCCACTGCACCGAGGTGATGACTTCTTTTTAAATAAGAGTCAACTCATGTATCAGATGCTCTTTGATGAATATTTATTAACTCTGTTCAATATATTTATTAAGCAAATACTAATATGCCTATTAAATTCCAGGTACCATATGATGTACTGGATGTAGTGGTAAGAAAAATAGTTATAATCCCTGACTTCATGAAGCTTCCAGGGTAGGAGACAAAGAAACAAAAACTTAAACGAAGAATTCATTATAAATAAAACATGCACAGGTTACTTTTGTAACACATAAAGATCTGACTTAATTGGGATTAAACTGGTACAAGGAATAGTTTAAACACAAAGGTTTACACATTATCTTATTACTCGCACTTGTTTGGCAGTACCTTAATTATAGGAAAAAATGATTGGAATAAGAACAAAGAGTTTTGCCTTCAACACTATACACATGCCCACTGATAGATCATGTGGTCTCTCTGAACCTATCTTGTTGCCAATAAAACAAAAAAGCTTGGCCAGGTGTGGTGGCTCATGCCTGTAATCCCAGCACTTTAGGAGGCCGAGGCAGGTGAATCACAAGGTCAAGAGATCAAGACCATCCTGGTCAACATGGTGAAACCCCATCCCTACTAAAAATACAAAAATTAGCTGGGCATGGTGGCGTGTGCTTGTAATCCCAGCTACTCTGGAGGCTAAGGCAGGAGAATTGCTTGAACCTGGGAGGCAGAGGTTGCAGTGAGCCAAGATGTGCCACTGCACTCCAGCCTAGAGTAGATACAGAGAGAGACTGTCTTCAAAAAAAAAAAAAAAAAAAAAAGCTCTGGCCCAGCACAGTAACTCATGTCTATAATCCCAGCACTTTGGGAAGCTGAGGTATGCCAGATTAGCCTAGGCAACATAACTCTGTCTCTACAAAAAATAAAAAAAAATTATCTAGGCCTAGTGGCATGCACTTGTAGTCACAGATATTTGGGAGACTGAGTTGGGAGGACTGATGTGAGCCTGGGAGGTGGAATCAGCAGTAAGCCATGTTTGCACAAGCCTGGGCAACACAGCAAGATCCTGTCTTTCAAAAAATAAAAATAAAAAAATAAAGGAGTTCCTTCACAGAAACAGTGGTTGCCCACATTCTAGGAATGGGGCAAATGAGGTAATATTGATGATCAAAATGTATACACTGTTAGTTATCAGATGAACAAGTTTTCAGAATCTAATGTACAGTGTGGGTGGTGACAGATGTGTTAATTAATTTGATTGTCATAATCTATTATACAGTGTACATGTGTATCAAATCATCATGTTGTATACCCTGAATATACACAATCTTTTGTTGTTGTTTTTCTTAGAGACAAGGTCTTCCTCTGTCACCTAGACTGGAGGGCTGTGGTCGATCCTGGCTCACTGCAGTCTTAAACTCCTGGGCACAAGCAATTCTCCTACCTTGGCCTCTTACAGGCTTGAGCCACCCCACTGGGCCTATACAATCTTTATTTAACAAAGTATTAAAAAAAAAAAAAAAAAAAAAGAATTCTTGGCTGGGTACTGAGGCATGCTCCTGTAGGCCCAGTTACTTAGGAGGCTGAGGTTGGGGATCCCATGAGCCCAAGAGTTGAAGATGAGCTCTGGCAACATAGTAAGACCTCCATCTCTTAAATATAAAGTTCCTTAAAAGTAAAACAAAACAAAATAAAACAAAAAAAATCCCAGTGTTTTCCAGAGTGGCTCACAAACTAAAAGCCTGTATAAAGTTTAACTGAAAGACAAACCTGTTTCAGCAAGCACTAAATCTGAAAAAGAAAAACAAACCTGTTTCGTTATGTTGCCTAAAGTTATTTGGTAATATAATTTCTTTTGTTGGTCATCTTTTAATATCATCCAGAACATACTTTGGAAAACAAAGAACTAGTTGACTTCTGGTCTTGAACTTCTGGGCTCAAGCCATCTGCCTGCCTTGGCCTCCCAAAGTGCTGGAATTACAGATGTGAACCCCCACACCTGGGATCTACAGTAATAGTCTATGATTATCTTTCTTTTTTTAGAATTTTCATGTTCCTAAATATGGGAGACTCCTTTATAACCCTTTAGTCCTTTATAACCTCTTACAACCCATTATAATTCTATAACTATTCCAAAAGATCCAGTTTATTTTTATTCTAAATTAATTTTCATTTTAAGTATCTCAACAAGATTGAACAAACATCAAACAAAATCTATCAGTTTTTGTACAAATGAACAAATACCATATTTTGCTAAATAAGATTATTTTGAAGGATTCTTAATAAAGTAGGTTCAAGATAAGAAGGAAACATTTTCACACACATACACACAAAATACCACCTCTGGGGTAAAGGTGAAGTTCTGGGATGCTCGCTTTAAGATCTCCACTGCTTCAGTGTAAGAAATGCTGGAGGAAAACAATATAGAAGCAGAGAAAAGTCAATACAATGGTTGCTAACTAGTTCATTTTAAAACTAGAAAAAGCCTATTCCTCTATCACACTGTGAGGTCATGAGGAAGTACTGAATAAGCAGGAATTAAGGCTGATCTAATCCTATGAAAGTCTGATCTGCCTGAAGAGAAGTGACCATTCAGTAACCTCACTCCGCATCTACTTGCAATATACATAGAGAAGCTAGTCATGTAAGCAAGCAGAGACCATTTTCTGAATTCATGATATGCCAGTGCCCTAATACAAGGTATGAAATAATAAGACTACAACTGCAAAAGACTTTTTCCTACAATTCACCATTCATTCATTTATTTATCCAATAGACATATACTTGGCACCTACTAGGTACTAGACATAATTCTAGGCACTGAAGATAAAAATAAAGCTCAGCCTTCATGGAGTCGACATTCATGTGTGTGTGTGTGTGTCAGAAAAAGGACGGGGGGGACAGGCGAGGAGAGACGAGACAGATAAATAAACAGGAAGCTATTAGTGCTATGAAGAAAACTAAAGTGGGGTAAGAAAACAGGGGTCTGGGGTGCCATTTTAGATATGACAGTCAAGAAAGGCCTGAGTTCGTGACATTTGAACAGAAGCGTGCATCGAGTAAGGAAATTAACCATACAAGTATCTTGGGAGGAGTATTCCAGGCAAAAGAAAGAGCAAGTACAAGGCCATGAAGTGAGAAACAGTTTGGCTTGTTCATAGAACAAAAAGGTCAGTCAGTGTGAATAGAGCATACTGAGTAAGAAGAAGAACGCACAGGAAATTACACAGGAAAGGCAGTCAGTCAGATCACATGGATTTTTTTCACATCATATTAAGGGCCTGCTAATATATTCTTTTTTTTTTTTTTTTTTTTTTTTTTTGGAGACGGAGTTTCACTCTTGTTACCCAGGCTGGAGTGCAATGGCGCGATCTCGGCTCACCGCAACCTCCGCCTCCTGGGTTCAGGCAATTCTCCTGCCTCAGCCTCCTGAGTAGCTGGGATTACAAGCATGTGCCACCATGCCCAGCTAATGTTTTGTATTTTTAGTAGAGACGGGGTTTCACCATGTTGACCAGGATGGTCTCGATCTTTTGACCTCACCTGTCTCGGCCTCCCAAAGTGCTGGGATTACAGGCGTGAGCCACCGCGCCCGGCATATTCTAAGCATTGTAAGACTATTTAGGAAAATAGAGAGTCTCTCAATGAGACAAACTCATACCTAAAGTAAGTCAAAATAAGTATTTGTTTTAACTATATGAATAGTTATCTACATAGTTAAAAAAAAATCAAGATGTATAAGAGTATACATCTCCCTTCCATTTCAATTCCAGAGACACCTAGCTCCTTTTATTTCACACAATCACTGTTATCAGTATTGTGAATATTCCTCCAGAAGATATGATTTATATAAATATGTAAATATTAATACACAATCTTCCTTTTATAGATGTCATACATATCATACATACTTTTACACCTTATTTTACTGAGCAATATGCCTTGCAGATCTATGTGTACACGAAAAAATTCATTTTGTATTATATAATATTCCATTTTGTGGATGTATCATAATGAATTAGTTTAACCAGTGACCTGGTATTTCACATTCTAATCTTTTGCCTCATGCCTACATATACCTATTTAATGTTACTGCAAAGAGTTCTTATACACTAATTTTGCATATGGCAAAAGTGGAATTGTTAGATGAAAATTTGCAATTTTTACATTTTCTGAAAGGTTTTGCAAAACATACTGCCCCCTTTTACACAGATTTATACCCACCAGTAACATGAAAGTGTCAGTTTGCTTGTAAACTATAGGTAATATACTGCATTAGTATTTTGAGATTTTTTTACAAAAAATCTACAAACTTTCTCAAAGACCTCAAGCTTAAAAAATAATTTATCCAGAACAAACTTATTCTCTGACGCAAAAAATGTTCATATCCATAACAACTAAATAGACAGAGTAGTATTGTATCTTAAGGTAAAATAAAGCCCCTAAAGCTGTGTTTTGAAAGACAGGTTTTCTCCTAAGATGGAAATTCTGTTCAAATTAAAATGTAGTATTAATAATAGGTAATTTCTAAGGTAATAATGGTGGTGGTAGTGGTGTTTGCAGTAGCAGTAATAACAATTTTAAAATGAGCATTTTACAGAAGAGAAACAGAAGGTTACAGAGGATCAGTGACTTTCCAAAGGTCACTCATGTAAGTAAACAGTAAATCTTGATCTGCTGACTCCAGAGTTTACGTTTTAAATTGCTAAGATAATGCCTAAAATACTTGGAGTTTCCTATGTTCCATCAAAACAAAAGAAAATGGGCTCTGGGTTCTTCATCTGATTCTACCACTAGCTATGTAAGTCACTTCAATGTAGTGAAAGCGTGTTATTAATTTTTGTAATGTGTTATACAAAAATTTAAAAAGTATTTGCACTTGTTAAATAAGGAGATTGGATTACCTTGTATAAAGTTCTTCTCTGCTTAGACATTCTATTGTTTTATTATATAAATTACTTGGTATGATCTACCGGTCACACTGAGAAATGTAAGAGCAGTCAAAATAATAAGCAGTAGGATTTTGGCACGTTACTGTTTCATTACTAAGAAATTACTCTCTTATCTAAATATCTTGTAATTCCACATCTTCCACTCCACTCCCCCATACCTTCATTAGAGGCAGAACTTTCAAGTTTAAATTACAATTCTGACACTTGATATATCAACTCTCTCTACTAAGTATTTTTCTTGATAAGTATAGAAAATAATATCTCTTGTCCTTTCCAGAAACTGTTTCCAAAGTGCTTTGAGGAAAGGAGGAAAAAAACATTGTGATAGAGAATGATATGGCATCAAACTACCTCATATATCACATTTTTTATTGTTGAATAAAGAAAATTCATTATTCTGAAGCTACTTGGAGTAAGCTTGCTGAACTACAAAGGTAATTATTGTCATCCTTTGCCTCAAATTCACACAGAAAGATAAATGAAGAGCGGATAAAAAAGTTAAGTACTCTATGTTTTCAGAACCACAATACTATAAAGGAAATGTAAAATAAATTGAATACTATTTCTGCATGATAAAGGTTAAATTCAATTACTACACAAGTTGCTGAAATAGCATATATTCATATAAAATAAAGCAGATACACTTCTACACTTCTTTGTAAATTCTCTATGCTGGCTAGCTCAATTTTCTGTTTGTTTGCTTATTTTCTAATTGGCCCTTTCATTAAGGGTGTAGTCCTTGGCCAGTTCTAGCTTTGTGTATGTGTGTATGTGTGCATTTCAGGGGATAATATATGCTACATCTATTGTCCCGTCTTCTCACTGAGGTTAAAATCTCTGGTTTCAAAGATTGGAAAATTGCCCTCTAGCTTCCCTTCCCTACATTCTGAGAATATTTAACATCACACCAACTGTACTGGTTCCTTCTTCATTTCTAGCACCTGGAACTTCTCCTATTTTCTAGTGAATTAAAAAACATATTTAAAAGAATCTTATAATATTTAAACTACTATTATTAGATGTTTGGTAGCTAGAGTGTTTTCAAGTTATCTAGTCTGACATACTGCTTGCAATAGAATCGTCATTTAATCATTTCAACAATATAAGACAGTATTTTTTATAGATGAGGAAACTGAAGTTCAGGAAAGTTAAAGGTTTACTATTAAGTTCACAGTTGTAATTAAATTATTCATACAAATATTTAACTGCTCATCTTTTTCTCTAGATTTTACACTCCATAAAAGTAAAAATCGGTGTTTGTTTTCATTATTCTCAACAACCAGCAAAGTGCCTAACTCATATTAGGTAGTCAATAAATATTTGTTGAAAAATATTAATTTACAGATTAATGGCTAGTAAATGGTACGGCCAGGATTACAATACAGGTTCTCTGAATCATGATTCACTATCCTCACTAACTGAAGTAAATAGTGATGTGAGCCAACAAGAAACCTCAGGAGAGGATCCAGCCTAAAGAATACCTTTTACAGACAGTTACTCAAGTCATTTGTTTCTCCACTCAGTTATTCAGTATTTACTGAGTGTCTGTTAGAGGCACTGTGCTAAGTCCTAGGGGTATAATAGTAAGCAATTTAAATCATCTCTGATCTCACACCAAACAAATAATCACACATATAAATTTATATTTTAAAATCTTTGAATTTTTAATTAACGTATACGGTATACATTTACAGGGTACAATGTGATTTTTCGTATTATATACTGTGGAATGAATTAACATATCTATCACCTTGCATGCTTCATTTTACTTTTTGTAGTGAGAACATTTAAAATCTACTCTTTCAGCAATATTGAGATATACATTATAATTAATTATGGTCACTTTGTTATGCAATAAATCTTGAAAGCTTACTCCTCTGGTCTAACTGGAATTTTGTACCCACTGGTCAATTTCTTTCCATTCCCTTCCAGAACTGCCCCATCCTGCCACTGGTAACTACCATTCTACCACTTCTTTTTTTTTTTTTTTTTTTTTTTTTTTGAGACAGAGTTTCACTCTTGTTACCCAGGCTGGAGTGCAATGGCGCGATCTCGGCTCACCGCAACCTCCACCTCCTGGGTTCAGGCAATTCTCCTGTCTCAGCCTCCTGAGTAGCTGGGATTACAGGCATGCACCACCATGCCCAGCTAACTTTTTGTATTTTTAGTAGGGACGGGGTTTCACCTTTTTGACCAGGATGGTCTTGATCTCTTGACCTTGTGATCCACCCGCCTTGGCCTCCCAAAGTGCTGGGATTACAGGCTTGAGCCACCGCGCCCGGCCTTACCACCACTTCTTTAAGTGTAACTTCATTATATTTCATAAATTGAAGTAATCATGCAGTATTTGTCTTTCTGTGTCTAGCTTCTTTCACTTAGTATTATGTCTTCCAGGCTGATCCATGTGGTCACAAATGAGATTTTCTGTGAACAGTATTCCACTGTGTATATACACATTTTCTTTATCCAGTCATTCACTGATGGACACTTAGGTTGATTCCTTATCTTGGCTACTATGAATAGTGCTGCAATAAACATGTAAGTGCAGATATCTCTTTAACATATTGATTTCAGTTCTTCTGGATATGTACCCAGAGGTGGAACTGCTGAGTCGTATGCTAAATATACTTTGTTTTTTTGAGAAACCTCCATACTATCCTCCATAATAGCTCTATTAATTTACATTCCCAATAACAGTATACAAGGGTCCCCAAGCTCTACATCTTTGCCAATACTTGTCATTTGACTTTTTCTTTTTCTTTTCTTTTTTTTTTTTAGACAGGGTCTTGCTGTCTCTCAGGCTGGAGTGTAGGAGTCTGTGATCATAGCTAATGGCAGCCTTGCCCTCCTGTGCTTAAGCAATCTTTCCACCTTGGCCTCCTGAGTAGCTGGCACTATAGGCATGTGTCACCATATCTGGCTAATTTAAATTTATTATTTTTTTTTGTAGAGACAGGGTCTCACTATGTTGGTCTCACTTGAACTCCTGGACTCAAGTGATCCTCCCTCTTTAGCCTCCCAAAGTGCTGAGATTACAGCCACGAGAGCCAACGTGCAGAGTCTCATTCTACTTTTTGATAACAGCCATTCTAACAGGTATGAGGGGGTGTCTCGCTGTGTTTTTAATTTGCATTTTATTGATGATTAGTGATGTTAGACCTTTTTTGATAAACCTAATGGCCATCTGTATCTTGCTTGCTTGAGCAAAGCATGAGGGTGGATGCTGAGGGTACGTGGGGTGGCTGCCCTGCAGGGGTTCCAACCAGCTAGACCTTCCTACTGAGCTTCTGCAGCAAGCAGATGGGCTTTGTAAATGGGTGTTGCAGTTGGCTGGTATCTTTGATCAGGTGCTACTGCTGGTGGGAACACAGTTATCACCAAGATCTGTGTGCTGGTTGCCCTAAGCACGGCCCTCTTTGTTCCCACCTAACACCAGGTAGTCTAGACCTTACCCCCAGGGTTCCCTGTGAGACAGGAATGGGTCCCCAGGGAAGCATCACAGAATGCTAGGGAAACCAGAGAGCTGTCTCTTTTGCCACTGCATTAACTGTGGGCCCAAGGGAATCTTCTCTTTGTGGTGCTGTGCCTACTGAAGGGAGGGAGGAGTCAATCAAAGTGAGACCACTGCTCCTACCCTTCTAATTCAGTTTTTTGCTCTGTGGTCCATTTGGGTATCTCAATTTCATTCCCAAGTTTTGGGATTTTCACAGAAGTGTTCCTGTATGTGGTTAATTGCTAACTGGACTTTCTGTGGTGAAGCCTGGGACTTTCCATTCATCATCTTGCTGATGTCCGTCTCCCCACAAACTTAAACTGCAACTATGATTTGTGTTACGCAGAATGAATCGTGACAATGACAATGGATCAAAATGGCACAGTCGATGATGTCATTTTCTAACCTTAACATTTTACAAACAAGGACTCCAAAGCACAAGAGTTAGGTGACATGTAGGAGTCGTAAGGACAGTGGGGCAGCTACAATCACTCTATTCTTTATTCCAGTGCCCTTCCAAATACATGAAAACCCCAGGTTAAAAGCCCGAGTTTGAAATCAGATGAATGTGAGGAGATTGAATCCCCATTTCATCTTTCACTCAATCTCTTTGCAGGGATTCTCTATCTGCAGAATGAGAATAATAACTCCTTGAAGTTGTGAAGATGAAAATGAGCTAAGAATGTATGTAAATTCTATCACTGTCTGGATAAATATTTAATAAATGATGACTATTATTTCTGCATTTTCGATCTTTTCATTAGACAGGAGTTGGAGAACTGAGATTTTCCCTGGTTGTTCTGTCACCAGCAGATATTCTTTGAGAAGGCCAAATTACTTCTTTCATCTACTTAATTTCTACTTTTATCAATACACTCATGACCAAGATTATCCTGTAAAACTCTAGACCCATACTTTCAACTGCCTAGCCAACATCTGTAGTTGGGTATCTGAAATGCATCTAATCTTAACAGGTCTGTGTTCCTGATATCTTCCCTTCCTCTCAAAGCTCCTGCCCCAGCACTTTTAAGGCTTTTCCAATTTCAGTTAATGGCAATTCCATTTTCGCAGCTGTAGGAGAAAAAACCCTTGAAGTTACCCTTGACTCCTCTCTCTCATCCTCAGTAAATCCTGTTTGTTCTATCTCTAAAATATATTCAGAATAGGGGAACTCTTGCCACCATCCTGGTCTGTTATGGTTAATTTCATATGTCAACCTGGCTGGGCCATGGTGCCCAGATATCAGTCAAACAGTATTCTAAATGCTTCTATGAAGGTGTTTATTGGATGAGATAAATGTCTAAATCAATGGACTTTGAAAAAAGCAGATTATGCTACTCTTCACAATGTGGGTGGGCTAAATCCAATCAGTTGAAGTTTTTTTTTGTTTTTTTTTGAGATGGAGTCTCACTCTGTTGCCCAGGCTGGAGTTCAATGGCGTGATCTTGGCTGTGACCTCCCGAGTTCAAGCAATTCTCCTGCCTCAGCCCCCCAAGTAACTGGGATTACAGGCATATGCTGCCATGCCAAGCTAACTTTTTTGCATTTTACTAGACACAGGGATTAACCATGTTGCCAAGGCTGGTCTCAAACTGCTGAGCTCAGGCAATACACCCACCTCAGCCTCCCAAAGTGCGAGGATTACAGGCATGAGCTACCATGCCTGGCCTCAGATGAAGTTTTTACTAAGACAGACTAAGCCCCTGAAAGATGGAATTCTGGCAGGAGACTGCCTTTGGACTTGAATGGCAACTCTTCCTTGACTCTCCAGCTTGTTGGCCTACCTAGCTTAGACTTTAAACACAACAAGCCTCTACAATTATGTGAAGCAATTCTTACATTAAGTCTCTCGATCTCTCTCTCCACATACATCCACCCTCATACTAGGTTGGTCATGTTTCTCTGGACTCTAATATACAGTCCAAATCATTATTAACTCTCACCCAGATCACTGTGGTAATCTCTTAGTTTTCTGTTCCTGAATTCTTGTCTTGCTGTAACCTATATTAAGCAGATTTTTTTAAAGTTTGTTTTTTAATCAAGCCAAATTTTGATGACTAAAGTTAGCATAAGTTTGAATTGTAGTAATATAGTTAATAATTACTTCATTTTATCTTACTATGATTTATTTATTGATGAAACATTAATTATCAACTATGAACCAAACACAAGAGCTATAAAAATTATTAGAATATGGGTCATGCCTGGAGTCTGCAGAGTGTCTAGATATATATCATATATAATATATATAGGATCTATATGAGCAGATATATATTTTAAAAATTATAATACAGTGTGATAAATACAGTGATAATAAATAAAGTTCAAAGAAAGTAAAACATCCACTTACATTAAAAAGTTGTTTTTCAGCATATGTTCTAATCTGTCCTTGGTAAAAAAAAAAAGACAGAAAATTTAAAAAATGTAATTTTATTATGTATAATTAACACATTAAAGAGCAGATATATTGGGCTTTATCTACAAAATTAATTACCTTTTGGCCAGGAGCTATGAATTTGTAACAGAGTTTAACATCTTCAGGACAATTTGAGAGAACCATCATTGTTGTAGCCTTGAAGAGTTTCTCCATAACCTAAAAGAAATCAAACAGAATCACTTGACAAGTAAAAAGCTTTATATGGAAAGCCTGTTCAGGGCTCAATAAGGACTGCACTTTAGGCTTCTGCAACTATAAATCCACAAAGTCATTTAAACCTTGAATGTATCACAGAAAATTGGTTCAGTTTTCCAGGCATCTCAATTTCCTTGGTGGGTGGCAGGGAGGAAGAAAAAAGGAAAAATGTTTTAATCTTATGCTGACAGTTTGAATGCTGGTAAAGAAGTGAGCTGTCAAATGAACAGCTATAACTGATCAATGTCTCTCTGAATTTCAATAAACTCACTTGTAGAATCAGGGTAATAATAGCACCTAACTTACAGGATGGTTGACAGGATTAAATAAGATAAACCATGTGTCAAACTTAGCTTAGTACCTGGCTCAGAGAAGCATCCAACAAACATCAGTTGTCAACAGTAAGAATATTTTGAAAAGTGGTTTGTTCAGTCATTGGTAAATGAAAGTAAACTTCACAGAAACAATGGTATATGTAAATATAAATCTAGACACTTTTGCTTTCCTAATGCCCAAAGTAAAAATAACATGAAGCAACATACAGTAAAAATCAGTATATAAGGACTTATTCTGAAGACTAGCCTGGTCAACAAGGCAAAATTCCGTCTCTACAAAAATAAAAAAACAAGACTTAGTTGGGTACAGTGGTGTGTGCACCTGTAGTCCCAGCTCCTCAGGAGGCTGAGTTGGGAGGACCACTTGAGCCTGTGAGGCTGAGGCTATAGTGCAGGCGTCTCCAAACTATGGCCCACGGGCTGCATGAGGCCCCCTGAGGCCATTTATCTGGCCCCCTGCCGCACTTCAGGAAGGGGCACCTCTTTCATTGGTGGTCAGTCAGAGGAGCACAATATGTGGCGGCCCTCCAACAGTCTGCAGGACAGTGAACTGGCCCCCTGCGTAAAAAGTTTGGGGACGCCTGCTATAGTGAGTCATAATCATGCCACCGTAACGTCAGTCTAGGTAACAAAGTGAGATCTTGCCTCAAAAAACAACAACAAAAAAATTATTCTACCACGGGTGCCCATAGAAGACTCATAATAGAAACTTTTTCTTAGAAGAGAAAAAGTGACTGGAATGGAAAATATTTCTAAAATCTTTTTGTTCATAACTAACATTCTTGGTTTTAAATCAATGACACAGTATTAGGTCTTCTAATTGTTGTATTCATAAAGATGCACATAAGACTAAAGTACAGGTGGCCGGGCACAGTGGCTCATGCCTGTAATCCCAGTACACTGGGAGGCTGAGGCAGGCGGAGGATCATGAGGTCAGGAGTTCGAGACCAGCCTGACCAATATGGTGAAACGCCATCTCTACTAAAAATACAAAAATTAGCCAGGCAGGGTGGCACGTACCTGTAATCCCAGCTACTAAGGAGGCTGAGGCAGAATTGCTTGAACCTGGAGGCAGAGGTTGCAGTGAGCTGAGATCACACCACTGCACTCCAGCCCGGGCAACAGAGTGACACTCCATCTCAAAAAAAAGAAGAATACAGTACAGGTTGCCTTAAAGGCAGGTAGATTCTTTTCCTCTGTTGCATACTAGTACATCCTCTTGAGGCTAGAAGCACAGTGGAGGTATTTAACTGTCTACTTAGGTACACTAATATAATCAGACAAAGGAAAACACTTAAATACCAGTGACAAGCAGATCTATTTGATGATGTTTTACTCATTGTTAGTGGCATTTATTTATTTATTTTTCAGACAAGGTCTTGCTCTGTCACCCAGGCTGGAATGCAGTGGTATAATCACAGCTCACTGCTGCCTTGACCTCTTGGGCTCAAGCGATCCACCTACCTCAGCCAAGCACACTCAGATAATTTTTTTTAGTTTTAGTAGAGATGAAGTCTCACTATATTGCCCAGACTGGCCTCCAACTCCTAAGCTCAAGTCGTCCTCCCTCCTCAGCCTTCCACGGTACTAGGATTATAGGCATGAGCCACTGTACCTGGTCTAGTGGCATTTACTACACACATCGTGCTAACCTATACTGCATTCCTGGTTTATTTTCTTACCTTATTCATTTATTTTTTTTTGAGACAGAGTCGCCCAGCATTGGTGCAATAGCTCACTGCAACCTCCGCCTCCTGGGTTCAACCAATTCTCCTGCCTCAGCCTCCTGAGTAGCTGGGATTACAGTGTGTCCCACCATGCCTGGATAATTTTTGTATTTTAGTGGAGACAGGGTTTCACCAAATTGGTCAGCTGGTCTCAAACTCCTGACCTCAAGTGATCCACCCACCTTGGCCTCTCAAAGTGCTGGGATTATAGGTGGGAGCCACCACACCCAGCCTATTTTCTTACCTTCTATTACTATGGTCATTTATCCCTTCAACCAACATGTACATCTAATGAAGAAAAAAAATTGATGAGCATGTGGTTATCTAAGGCACTGACCATGGAAAACAGTAATGACAACTAATTTTAGTGGGGGGGGGGGCGCGGTTGGGAAAAAAGAATCAAAAGACTAGATAATAGTAAAGATAAATCTAAAAGGAATAAAAAGAATTTAAGTAAACTTTCTAAGGAATTTACATCCTAAAAAGAGATTTTTTTTTTTTCTTTTGAGACAGAATCTTGCTCTGTCACCCATACTGTTGCAGTGGTGCCATCTCAGCCCACTGCAGCCTCTGTCTCCCAGGTTCAAGCAATTCTCCTGCCTCAGCCTCCTGAGTAGCTAGGATTACAGGCATGTACCACCACACTCAGGCAATGTTTGCAATTTTTTTAATAGAAACATGGTTTCATTATGTTGGCCAGCCTGGTCTCCAACTCCTGGCCTCAAGTAATCCAACTGCCTCGGCCTCCCAAAGTGCTAGGACTACAGGCATGAGCCACCACGTCCAGCTTACCTTTTTATTTCATGTAAAAAATATATAAGGTAAACCATTAAAATAATAAAAACAGAATCTATAGATTCTAAACTAGTAGAGGAAAAGAAAGGAAAATAAAGAAAACCAAATGAATCCAATGGGGAGTGTAAGAGGGGCATAGAGTAAGGAATATCTTGGTGAAAGGAGAACAGCAGGAAGCTAAAGATCCTTCACACCGAGCCTGTAACATCTTCAATTCATCAGGGAGATAAAGAAATTACTAAGTAACATAATGATTTATTCAGGCTCACATGCCTCAATCACTTGAACAAAGCTAATACACATTGGGAGGAATAAAGAGCAGGTGGATTAGATGATAGGGACACAATACATCCATCTGTAAGACGGAGACTTTGACCACTGGGGTTGTTACATCCCTGCCTTTCCTGAGAAGTGTATTTCCAGCAGCAGAAGGAAAACTTGACATTCACACTATACTCGACAAATATAGTTGGAAAAAACCCAGAAACCTAACAGAAGGGTTAGGTTTTCAACTGCATATGTGGAGTATAGTGTGAATGTCGTCACACTATACTCCACATAACACATTTTTAAGATAACTGAGATATCTTAAAAATGTGTAAATTAATTGTACTATAATAGCAATACTTAACTGCTTATAGCTCATACAGAGAAAATATTATTTGTTAGAATATTCTGATTTAATATTTAAGAGACCGCTCTGAACTAAGATACTAATTTCCAAGGTATGTAATTTACAAAAGGAAGAAAATTAAGAGAGGCAGGAGATTACTTTTGAGGAGAGCACTTTTTTTTTTTTTTTTTGGCTTTAGGAAAAAAGTATATATCACAATTAACTAAATCATTTGACAACAGTATATGCCCCAAGTACCACCAGTGGAGTACCAAATAAATAAGAACTTGAGTAGCAAATCATGACACCAAAACATGAATATTCTTATTTGTCAATTTACTATTAGCTTCATGAAGATCAACAGTAAGACTCAGTCATCATAGTGAACAGGTAACCTACAGAATGGGAGAAAATGTTTGCAATCTATCCATCTGACAAAGGGCTAATACCCAGAAAAGAACTTAAACAAATTTGCAAGAAAAAAACAAACAACCCCATCAAAAAGTGGGAGAAGGATATGATCAGATACTTTTTTTTTCTGAGACAGAGTCTCGCTCTGTTGCCCAGGATGGAGTGCAGTGGTGAGATCTCGGCTCACCGCAACCTCTGCCTCCTGAGTTCAAGCGATTTTCCTGCCTCAGTCTCCTGAGTAGCTGGGATTACAGGCACCTGTCACCACGCCCAGCTACTTTTTATATTGTTAGTAGAGATGGGGTTTCACCATCTTGGCTAGGCTGGTCTTGAACTCCAGACCTCGTGATCCACCCACCTCGGCCTCCCAAAGTGCTGGCATTATAGGCGTGAGCCACAGCACCCAGCAAACATACACTTCTTAAAAGAAGACATTTATGCAGCCAACAAACATATGAAAAAAAAGCTCATCATCACAGGTCATTAGAGAATGCAAATCGAAACCACAATGAGATACCATCTCACGCCAGTTAGAATGGAGATTATTATGAAGTCAGCAAACAATACACGCTGGCAAGGCTGTGGAGAAACAGGAACGCTATTACACTGTTGGTGCGAGTGTGAATTAGTTCAACCATTGCAAAGACAGTGTGGCGATTTCTCAAGGATCTAGAACCAGAAAAGCATTTGACCCAGCAATTCCATTACTGGGTATGTACCCAAAGGATTTCAAATTACTCTACTATATACACACATGCACAGGTATGTTTCCTGCAGTACTATTTACAACAGCAAAGACTTGGAGCCAACCCAAATGCCCATTAATGATAGACTGGATACTGTGATAGACTGGATACTGTATGTAAGATGAAATACTATGCAGCCATAAAAAAGAATGAGTTTGTGTCCTTTGGAGGGACAGGGATGAAGCTGGAAGCCATCATTCTAGGCAAACTAACACAGGAAGAGAAAACCAAACACCACATGTTCTCACTCATAAGTGAGAACTGAACAAGGAGAACACATGGATACTGGGATGGGAACGCCACACACTGGGGAGTGTTGGGGTGGGGGACAAGC